ATTTCATTGTCTTATGGATCCCCTCAATCCGTTATGAAATAGTAATTGAACTCAATGTTCTTCGACGTGCCAATGAGTGAGATTAGATTATATGATCAAATCCTCAACGTGTTGGGAGATGACAGCATCGATGTAGTGAGTACGTATTATCATTCGAAATTCTTCACACTACTAGATGGGTTAATAAGTTCACTCAAGTTTTTCTTTATATAACATTTTAAATCGTAGCTAAGTATTTAGGCATTTCCTAATTCCATGATTACATCACAAAGAAACTGTTTAGAGAATCTAACTAAGAATGGGAATCTAATTATTTGACGATCGAGTAAGACATAAAGGTGACAAGTCATGATGATGTAATTGTAGGAAATTGAAATATTATCACTCCCGTGATTTTTTTTATATTTTGGACCTTAGTTTCTTGGTTTGTGAATGAGCGAAAATTAATAATTATTCTATATAAAATGGGCCAGCTTGACTGTGGCTCAATTATTTAAGCCTAAAACATATAGGTCTGACATATTCCTTTTGTAGCCTCCTAAAATTCTTGATCTCAATTGCACTAGTAATAAAATTTCAGGGACGATACATTCAAAATGGTCGAAATAAGTTTCCTAGACACAACAGGACAAGGAGTTGCAATGCTAAGACCACACAAGACGGGGATGACCGTGGCAATATACTTAACTGCCCTGGCTGATTTTTAAGAAAAAAAGAATTGTCTTCTGTTTCCCCTTTTGTGATTCTGTTTTTGAATTCTTGTTCCTGGAATTACATTTTTTGGTGTCCTATTGTGAACCAATCAATATACCAGAATCGTTTTGATACCAATTTGTTGAGAATATTGCCAAATAATCAAAGACGAGAAAATATGAGTAATATGAAAAATAATGGATCAGACAACAACACAAAATTTTGTGGAAGAAAACGAAAATTTATTATACCAAGAAACTAAAATTGTTTTTACAAGATTTAATTCTCTTATCTAAATCTAAACAATTCTCTCAAGTTTCTAATATATACAACAATGATGTAATTGTTATGTTGGGTTTATGAAGAGCCTTCACCTTATGGAATATTTATAGGAGTCAAATCTTGAAATTTTGGATGCAGTAGAGTCCTTAATCCCATAGTTCTTATCCCGATCTAACTCTCAATTCATAATGAAATTTGATCTCATATCTATCCGAACTTCTAAACCAAAATTATTTAGGCTTCCTCCATGAACTACAATTCCAAATTATGTGGAATTTGAGTTACAAAATATAACAAACTTCACCTTGACACAAATTCCATAGTAAGGAGTTAAGTCTTCACTCATCCAATCATTCTCCAATTCCTCCAAATCATTCTCCAATTCCTCCACCATGTCCACTCCAGACACCAATCACTCGCTGAGCATACTCAGCAACTGTAAACTAAATCCAAGCCTTATTTACCAGTAGAACTACTTTGCGCACCATCTTTGCTTGAATTATTTCGTTCATTACCAGTTACAACTGAGTCACCAACCTGCTCAAATCACCATGAGCAACACCAACTCTACCTGAATTTCAAAATCTGCTTGAATAACCACAAGCAACATGATCAAGAAGATCATAACCAGCTTCACCTCAGCTACTAAAATATTCCCCAATATCATTGATTAAATTACCACGAACAACCCGATCACAACTAACTCTACCCGAGTTATTACTGATTGAACCATAAGCTGCAGTTGTATCTACAGTGATTGTCGAACCTTCTAACATGTATAACCGGGACTTTCTCCATCCCCTTAATACAAGCTGAGCACTCTTGCTAAATTTCAGAACTCTACCCCACCAGTATACCTGTACCTTTTGAATCAATAGAATTCAAAGATATTACATTCCCGTTTATGCCTGAAACATGTCGAACCTGACTAAGTATTCTAATTGTCTCATTAAACATCTTTATTTTGACACGACCAATACCAGTTATCCGACAAGGTGTGTTATTATCGATCATCACAACATCTTTTGAAACTTCATCATATGTTGAAAACAATTCCTGATTGGGTGAAAAGTGCAAGCTATATCCAAAATCCAAGGTTCATCAGGTTTGTAGTTGTAGTCAAACATAAGTAGTAGCTCTCCATCACTGCTAGGATTTTCTGCAATACTTGATTTTCCTGAATTTTTGATTGTTAATTTGCAGTTAACTTTAATTTATTTTGCAACTTATAACAATCGTTTTCAAGTGCCCCATTTTCTTGCAATAATTGCGAAATTTGAAGTTATATTTTGGCTTGCCCCACGAACGACCACCATGGACAATGAGACCATCTCTATGATCTCCCGATGCTACAAGATACTTCATCTTCTTCTTTGAATATAGAGTATTGTAGGTTTCTTCAATAGTGAGAAAACCACGGCTATGTAATATCGCATCTCTACAAGACATGTATGAAGCGGGTAATGAACACAATAAAATCAATCACAAAATTCTTCATCATATTTGACCTCAAAAGTCTTTAAATTAGCGACGATTTCCTTAAAAGTAATTAGGTCATCCTCAAGAGATGTACATTTTGTCATATGATGAGAATATCGACGTTGTTATCTTTGACATTTCACAACTACCAAGATCGGATCTATGATATATGATGTGAAAAAGTTATTTTTAAAGCATTAAGGAGTTGTTTGAGCTCCATTTTTTTTAATCGAAAAATGCATTTTGCAATAGTATTATGATGAAAAATGAATGATTAAAAAATGAGAAAATATTTTGGGTTTGTGTGTAATATTATTTTATTGAAAACTGCATGATTGAAATGTGGTCAAATAACTGTTCAAGAATGCATTTTGATTGAAAAAAATGAGGTTCAAACAAGGGCTAATTATGTTCATCAATATTCAACTATCATATGAACAACTCCGGACAAATAATTTACACAAAACTATATTAAATGGGAGATCTTCCAACTTTTCATGCTTTCAAATAACTATATTTTTCCAAATAAACTTATTGATCTAATCAATTAATGAATGAAGAATAATTTACAAAGTAATTTATTTATAAAATTTATGAGTTAAAACTATTAAATTCTAAGATAAAAATATATAACATATTGTAAATGCTAATATCAAATTAGAAAATAAATCAACTATATCTCAACTTTAATATTCCAATTCCGAGGTGTGTTTGAGCCACATTATTTCGAAAGAATGTATTTTAGAATAGTACATTGATGAAGAATGTGCGGTTAGAAAAGAATGAAAAGTTATCGATGTGATGAAAAATATTATTTTATTGAAAAATGTGTGATTGAAAATGAGTAGAAGAATGAAAATGAAAATTTTAATATGACTCAAAAGGAGCCTGATAGGAGAAATTCACTTGAATTTTTTGAGAGAAACTTTCACCAATTACCCTTTTAAAAACTTTCATTACAATAAAATGAAATACAATGCGACCCAAATTAATTTCCTTTCTCCGTCTCCGTAGTCAATAAATTCCCATCATTAAACACTAATTTGCCTAATTGACCTGAGTATTTTCTCTAAGGGTGCGTTTGATTGTAAGGGTGAAAAATTGGTGGAAAGAAAATGTTTTATAGGGAAAAGATTTGCCTAGAAAATGTTTTGTAGGGAAAATAATTTCAAGTGTGTTTAATTGGTATAATTTTCCACCCGGAAAATTTTTAAATTTTCTATTCGTTTGGCTTTATTTTACATGAAAATTGTCCATTAAAGTGATATTTTTTTCCACAATTGGTTATAAAATGTGTTTCCATTGCCAAAAAGAAAAAAAAAGGGAAAAAAAATTGTTTCCTAAAAAATCATTTCTTTCATCAAAGTTTAGTGTTCGTTTGACTTTGTTTTACATGAAAATTGCCCCTTAAAGTGAAATTTTTTTTTTTAC